TACTGCACGTTGCTGAGGCTGAAGTTCAGGCCGTCCACCAGCGATTTCTCGTTGAGACCGCCGTACGCCGCAAACATGTCGAAGGCATTGCTGTAAGGGAAGGGGCCGAGGCCTAGTGCATTATCGTTAGGGCAGTTCATGCCAAATCTTCCTTGATCTGGGATTTCGGGGAACATAAACTCCTTGGCGTTCGGAGAAAGGGCAGAGGTTTTCTGCTGGAGGTTTGTGAGGCCGAGGCCGTACAGAGAGTGCATGGAGGACGACAACGCGCTCTGCTTTAGCAAGTTATTGACGGTGAAGCCGAACTGCGTGGGGGAGGACCGTGCGATCTTATTGCGAGCGTTGTTCTTCATTTTGGTGGAACCGAACTTTGTGGCAGCAAAAGTGGCAGTTGTAAACGTTAAAGGTTGCGAGACCCTGGGCATAAACGTCGGGCTTACAGCAGCTGAATCGCCAAACGGAGGTGAAGGCGAGCTGGATACTGGAGAGGACTGGTCAGTGATTGGCATGAACGCTTGGGCCTCGGGGTTAAAACTGTTCTTGATTTCCTTGTCCAGTTCCGATCCGTTCTCGCTGTTGTCATCGACGTAAAGTACTTTTATTTGTCCCTTCTCTCCGATCTGATAGGAGACTTCAGAGGGATCGATCCACACGTTGAGGTCGTGAGGGAGGTTTCTACGTACATCCTCGATGTCCAGACCGCTTTGCGGCCTGCTCTATGACCGGCTCCACCTTCTCACCGACATGGATGCACCTATAGCCCGACCCCTTGTACGGCTTGTCTGGGTACCAATGGCCTTCATATTTCTTCTTCAGAAGTCTTTCAAGCTCCTCCCCGAAGATGTTGACTCGTCGCCTGGGCAGTTTGTTATACAAATACGAGATGATAAAATTCAGAGCTACCTGAATTTCAAGCTGCATATCGGTCTTAATATTTCTCAGTCGACGCAGAAGGATGTTTGTCAGGCAGGCAGAGGGTAAAGAGCTTCGAAATCCTTGTTTTTTCCTGCAAGAAAAACAAAAATGGTTGGAAAGGAAGAGTCACCAACACTTGAGAAAGTACAAAAGAAAGCTGCACAACCCAACTGAGGTCCCCAAACTTCGACTTCCCGGTGAATGCCTACACAAACTATGTGACAGGACGAGTTTATCATGGGGAGGCCAACACATGGAAACAAGTGACTGAGAACTAAGTCAACACAACCAGACACACTGGGAGGTTTCACTTGCTGCAGGTAAATATTTCCCCGATTACTCAAACATCTCAGAATACAAAACTGACCAGACTGGGCCAACCACCACCACCTGATAGTTACAGTCCGGACAGGGATCAAGAATATTTCAGTCTTTAAATGGTGTCAAGATGAAAACGAGGACTTTGAAGTGGAAGTCAAGTCCACTTTGCAAGTTGTACTACAGGTAAAGACTATGATAAAGGCTTACCTGTGGGTACAGTGAATATCTCCTAAACTTGCCGTTTAGGACAGGGGTCTCCAAACTTTCTAAACAAAGGTCCAGTTTACGGTCCTTCAGACTTTAGGGGGGCTAGACTGCGGCCATCAGGAATAGAAAAAGGCCTGACATCAGTTGGAAAAAACCGCCCCATTTCTGGCATCATTTGGACGAATTATGTCCCATCATTGGTGTCACTGGGCACCATTGTTAGTGTCACTGGGAGAAATTGTGTCCCATTGGACCCTGTGATGGGAGTCACTTTGGATGGGGGGCCCATGGAACCCAGCTCACTTTGGAGAGGTGGGGAGACCCGTCTCATCTCCCCATATCCCTCTTATGTACAAGTCACCCTGTGCCTGTTAGGGGTACAGGGTGATCTGTCCTAATATTGTGTAGACATGTATAGGTGGGGTGGGGGGGGGGGGTTGTGGATTGTTTGGTGTTATGTGGTTGCATCCCATTGTTCTATTGTGTGTCTTGACTGGGAGCAAACTATTATGGGATGTGTTTATGTTTATTGGCTTGGTGGGGGGGGGGGGGGGTCTTCAGCAGCCCTCCCTCCTGATGGGACCGTCTGCTGGTGTGTCTCATTACTAAAAGTAGATTGCCCCGCCCTGTGCCATTATGCAGGAAGGGGGGAGGGGGGGGTTGTCTGAGTGTATATATCTTGAATCTGTGTTAAAATAAAACTAGTCTACCTCCTGGTTTACTTCAAGACTGGTGTCTAGTCTCGTATGGTCTGCTGTGGTGTCTGTTTGTAATTGGATGGGGAAGCGGTATCCTAGCGGAGGTACCCAAGTGCAATCTGGGGTCGGTTCCATTACAGACCCCATTTCTGGAGTAATTGGAAGGAAATGAGCCCCTTTATTGGTGTCATTGGTGGGAAATCTACCTCACTGTTGGTATCAGAGAAAGAAATGGTGCCCAAGGGGCCAGATAAGAGCCAGCAAATGGCCACATCTGGCCCCACAGGCCATAGTTTGGAGACTACTGGTTTAGGAGATATTCACACAGCATGCATCCGAGGATGTCGCTGGCTCATGATGAAGGCATGGCATAGCGTGCCAAACCTTTAGAGCCGCAGCAGAGCTTCCGCAAGCATGTGCAGGTAAGGGGGGTGTGACATCATTGCAGCTCCGGCCATTCATACTGCCGGAACTCACAAACCCAGAAGGAAGAACAGGTGAAGATGGTGGCACTTGGAGCCGTGACAGCACGGCGCTGGAGGGCTCCATGTACAGGCAAGTGCACTGCATCCTAGTACAATATGACCCAACACTGCAGGAGGACCATTCATTTTATTCCCCGGTGGTTTACTACTGCTATAACCACTTGCACAGCGTATGTCGCTGGACTTCAGCAGTTATAGCGGGATAATGCCTGCAACTGACGAGAAATCTTAAGCAGCCCATGTCTAATTCTTTGTTCAACATCCCCGCTGATGTATTAGCACATTAGGGAGACTTCCCTGCCATCAGAATACACCGATCAGTGCTGCCAGTGGCACTGAGAGGAAATTGTCCATCAAGCTAGTTGTATAGAAGTCGTTCTGTAGATCAACTTCTGTAAAAAGGAAGAGGGGGGAAAAAAACAAAAAACAAAAAAAACAGCGGCTGTAAGTGCAGATGTCAAACAACTAACTGAGCTAAAATCAGGCAACTTGCATGGTAAAGTATGACAGGCTCATCAAAACCAATGGTGACGTAACAAGAGTCGATGCTGGGGAAGACCGGGTGAGTGGCAGGCATTGGGGCAAGGGAGTCCAGCCGGAACCCCCATCATTCCATGGAGTCTGCAGGACCATAGCGTCCTGACGTCACCTCCAATGTGCGATTGCCAGATTGTAGTTCCATTAAAGTTGTTAAACCCACTTGCCAACCGAAATTTAGTTGGATGGCTACAGCGCGGCTGTCCGGTTCTGGGAGGGCATCATGACGTCTCCCAGAACACAACCCCCCCCCCCCCAGCGATCTCTGTGATCACAGTGTCCTACAGACACAGCTAATCATGTGATATAGTAAAAGGCCAATCACAGCAGGCCTTTTACCACGTGATCAGCTGTGTCCAATGACAGCAGATCACCGGTAAATGCAGTTGCCAGCTATCGGCTGCACTTTCCTCATGCCGTCACAGAGTGAGGAAAGTACTGCTGACAACCAGCACTTGTCAGAGGATGGATCGGCGCCGATCATCAGGGCACCTGGGCCCACCACATCAGCACTGTCACACTTTGAATGACAATTGCGCAGTCATGCGACACTACTCATGACATTTTTATCCTTTTTCTTGAGAAGAATAGAGCTCTCTTTTGGTAGTATTTAATCACCTCTGGGATTTTTATTTTTTGCAAACCAAAAAACTTAATTTTTTTTAAAAATAATTTTTATAACAAACTAAGGAAAAAAATTTTGTAAGTGATTTTTCTCCTTCACTGATGTGCGCTAGTGAGACAGCACTAATTGGCACTGTTAGGTGGCACTGACAGGTAGCTCAGATGAGCACTGGTAGGCAATGATATGTGGCACTGATAGGCACTGGCAGCTGGCATTGATGGACACTGACTGGGGGCACAGCTGGGGCTACACTGATCATCAGAGCTCTGCACTGCGGCCACGACTCTCGTGTGCATGCAAGAGTGACTATCTTGCCCATTCAAACAGCCAAAACCCACAAACCCAGAAGGAAGACTGGATACAGATGAAGCAACGGTGATGGCGTGTCACTGGAGGGCATTGTTTTAAGTGTTACTAAACCCCGGACCCCGCATTCACTATATGCGCTCTCCCCCGGACCCCGCATTCACTATATGCGCTCTCCCCCGGACCCCGCATTCACTATATGCGCTCTCCCCCGGACCCCCCCGCATTCACTATATGCGCTCTCCCCCGGACCCCCCCGCATTCACTATATGCGCTCTCCCCCGGACCCCCCCGCATTCACTATATGCGCTCTCCCCCGGACCCCCCCCAGCATTCACTATATCCGCTCTCCCCCGGACCCCCCCCCGCATTCACTATATCCGCTCTCCCCCGGACCCCCCCGCATTCACTATATCGCTCTCCCCCGGACCCCCCCGCATTCACTATATCCGCTCTCCCCCGGACCCCCCCGCATTCACTATATGCGCTCTCCCCCGGACCCCCCCGCATTCACTATATGCGCTCTCCCCCGGACCCCCCCGCATTCACTATATGCGCTCTCCCCCGGACCCCCCCGCATTCACTATATCGCTCTCCCCCGGACCCCCCCGCATTCACTATATGCGCTCTCCCCCGGACCCCCCCGCATTCACTATATGCCGCTCTCCCCCGGACCCCCCCCGCATTCACTATATCCGCTCTCCCCCGGACCCCCCCGCATTCACTATATCCGCTCTCCCCCGGACCCCCCCGCATTCACTATATCCGCTCTCCCCCGGACCCCCCCGCATTCACTATATCCGCTCTCCCCCGGACCCCCCCGCATTCACTATATCCGCTCTCCCCCGGACCCGGACCCCCGCATTCACTATATCCGCTCTCCCCCGGACCCCCCCGCATTCACTATATCCGCTCTCCCCCGGACCCCGCATTCACTATATCCGCTCTCCCCCCTGCATTCACTATATCCGCTCTCCACGGACCCTGCATTCACTATATCCGCTCTCCCCGGACCCCGCATTCACTATATCCGCTCTCCCCAGACCCTGCATTCACTATATCTGGTCTCCCCAGGACCCCGCATTCACTATATCCGCTCTCCCCTGGACCCACATTCACTATATCCAGTCTCCCCGGACCCTGCATTCACTATATCCGGTCTCCCCGGACCCCGCATTCACTATATCCGGTCTCCCCGGACCCCGCATTCACTATATCCGGTCTCCCCAGACCCTGCATTCACTATATCCGGTCTCCCCAGACCCTGCATTCACTATATCCAGGTCTCCCCAGACCCCGCATTCACTATATCCGCTCTCCCCAGACCCACATTCACTATATCCGGTCTCCCCGGACCCCGCATTCACTATATCCGCTCTCCCCAGACCCTGCATTCACTATATCCGGTCTCCCCAGACCCTGCATTCACTATATCCGGTCTCCCCAGACCCTGCATTCACTATATCTGGTCTCCCCAGACCCTGCATTCACTATATCCGGTCTCCCCTGGACCACACATTCACTATATCCAGTCTCCCCGGACCCTGCATTCACTATATCCAGTCTCCCCGGACCCTGCATTCACTATATCCGGTCTCCCACAGTACACAGAACATGGAAATGCAATTATTGTAGTAAATTGTTAAATACCTTTTCTCATCAGCAGTTAGAAATCACTAATCTATCAGTGTCCAGCAGAGCACTGGTTAAAGCTTGTGGGAGTTTTCACTCTCCCCTTATTGTCCTATGAGGCTGCAGAACCCAACCCTCTGTCCAGACACCGATTGGCCCTGTGCCGATCACATGCACTCTCCCGAAAAACTCTAGCAATACACACTGAGCATGTGCAGATTTGCCACTGTTGCGCTGTACTATGGCAGATTGATTGGGGACAGTAGAAGGGGAGGATCAGAGAAGGTTTTTTTTTGGTTTTTTTTACACAATGCAGATGATTAACCCCTTAGGTTCCACAGTGAGTACAACAAGCATGCTTTACTGCATCTACAGACTGATTGTACTAGGGGGGGGTTTAGTAACACTAAGGCAAGTCTGTCACAATGTGCTAGTATGTGGTGCACACCAGCACATGACATTCTGTAGGGGCCCAATTTTCATTTGCCAACGTAGGTTTTTTTTGGATCTTTGGTGCTCATATACCATGTAGCTCCGTTTTAACCCCTTGAATACCTGGAAATGTTTAACCCCTCACCTACAGGGCACTTATACCCCCTGTCCAGGCCAATTTCCAGCTTTCAGCGCTGTCACACTTTGAATGACAATTGCGCGTGGTCATGCAACACTGTACCCATATGAAATTTTTATCATTTTTTTGAGACAGATAGAGCTTTCGTTTGGTGGTATTTAATCACCTCTGGGATTTTTATTTTTTCTTAAACAAACCAAAAACCACTGCAAATTTTGAAAAAAAAAATTTTCCCTAGTTTTTGTTATACAATTTTGTAAATAAGTGATTTTTCTCCTTCACCAATGTGCGCTAATGAGGCTGCAGTGATGGGCACTGAGGCTGCACTGATGGACACTGATGAGGCACTGGTAGGTTGCACTGATGGGCATTGACAGGTATCACTGAAAGGCGGCACTGATACATGGCACTGATAGGCGGCACTGATTGGCATTGATGGGTGACATTGAAAGGCAGCTCAGATGGGCACTGATATGGCATTGATGTGGCACTGGCACTGATGAGCACTGACAGGTGGCACTTCTGCGGCCACACTGATCATCAGTGCCCTGATAATCTGTGTACATGTCCCCTCCACGGAAAGCAGATTACCGGCTCTCCTCTGTCAGTGTGACAGCTCGAGAGGAGAGAAATGCCGATAACTGGCATTTCCCTGTTTACATGTGATCAGCTGTGATTGGACACAGCTGATCACATGACCGAGCCGACATCTTCGGCTCTTTCCGTGATCGGACACAGCGCACCGGAGATTGCCGCGCTGTGCAATCCCTGAGCCGCACATGCGCAGTGAGAATGGTAGGACGTCCTATCAGAACGAGAGAACCACCTTGTGCCCGTCATTGGACTATAGGGCGGGCTGAAGGTGGTTAAACTTGTTAGACAAGCAGACTACCAACTCCTCCCTTTCATTAACCACCCACATGGATCATCTGCTTCTCTGGCTGATGTTTCTGCGATGGCCAGCAAATCCAGTGCCGAATTCTGTGCCCTCCCCCACAACTGGATGCCTCCTTATGACCTATGGAGCCTGGCCCTGCTGCTACACAGCCAAAAGAAGTGGCCAAGTTTCACATGAAGCAATGTTGACACCCATAGAAGAACCTTCCTACTCTGCAGCAGAAAAAAAAATTGACACCCAGCATGCCAGGTGACCCCAGATCTGGGCCAGTAAAAGCTTTAACCATTTCTGGACCAATGACATACCGGTAAGTCGCTGGACTTCAAGTGGTAATTTTTTTTTTCAGCCAGCTTGCTTGCAAAAGCGGTTTTACAAGGGGGAGGGGTACCCGCCTCCCCACCCCATTTTCCACTGCTCTCCCTTCCCACCAGGAGACCAGGTTCTGCCAGTTAACCATAGAACGGACTGGAGGGGCTCTGATAATCTCTATGCCCTAAAAACGGAAGCAATGAGCATTTCATCACTTCCGATTTCGTGGCTATAAACAAACCATTATATGGTTTGAAGAAAAAAAAAAAAGAAAAAAAAAAAAAAAAAAAAAGCATCAGATCAGCGATCTTGGTTTGATCCGAACCTTTAAAGGGCAGAGGAGAGATCTGAGGGTCCAATAGCACTCAGATCTCTCACAAAAGAGTACCTGCCACCGCCCCAAAGAGTACCTGCCACCGCCCCAAAGAGTACCTGCCACCGCCCCAAAGAGTACCTGCCACCGCCCCAAAGAGTACCTGCCACCGCCCCAAAGAGTACCTGCCACCGCCCCAAAGAGTACCTGCCACCGCCCCAAAGAGTACCTGCCACCGCCCCAAAGAGTACCCACCGCCACCCAACCCCCAAAGAGTACCTGCCACCGCCCCAAAGAGTACCTGCCACCGCCCCAAAGAGTACCTGCCACCGCCCCAAAGAGTACCTGCCACCGCCCCAAAGAGTACCTGCCACCGCCCCAAAGAGTACCTGCCACCGCCCCAAAGAGTACCTGCCACCGCCCCAAAGAGTACCTGCCACCGCCCCAAAGAGTACCTGCCACCGCCCCAAAGAGTACCTGCCACCGCCACCTGCCACCGCCCCAAAGAGTACCTGCCACCGCCCCAAAGAGTACCTGCCACCGCCCCAAAGAGTACCTGCCACCGCCCCAAAGAGTACCTGCCACCGCCCCAAAGAGTACCTGCCACCGCCCCAAAGAGTACCTGCCACCGCCCCAAAGAGTACCTGCCACCGCCCCAAAGAGTACCTGCCACCGCCCCAAAGAGTACCTGCCACCGCCCCAAAGAGTACCTGCCACCGCCCCAAAGAGTACCTGCCACCGCCCCAAAGAGTACCTGCCACCGCCCCAAAGAGTACCTGCCACCGCCCCAAAGAGTACCTGCCACCGCCCCAAAGAGTACCTGCCACCGCCCCAAAGAGTACCTGCCACCGCCCCCAAAGAGTACCTGCCACCGCCCCACCGCCCCAAAGAGTACCTGCCACCGCCCCAAAGAGTACCTGCCACCGCCCCAAAGAGTACCTGCCACCCGCCCCAAAGAGTACCTGCCACCGCCCCAAAGAGTACCTGCCACCGCCCCAAAGAGTACCTGCCACCGCCCCAAAGAGTACCTGCCACCGCCCCAAAGAGTACCTGCCACTGCCTGTTGCTATCACAGGACATTTATATTCCCTGTGATATAAAAAAAAAAAAAAAAAAAAAAAAAAAAAAGGACAGAGTAAAATTGCACACAAAAAGTGAACGCTTTCAGCTAATAATGGAATCTTCTATTCCTACCAGTCCATCCCCCACAGTTATTACCTTTAGTACCACCAGCCCCTCCCTCTTAGATTGTAAGCTCCAAGGAGAACTCCACTCAGGGCCCCTCCCCTGAGTATATATATATATAAATATATTTTTATTTTTTTAATTTGGGGGTTCTAAGTAGTTCTGCAGCACACAAATACTGATTTTTTTTTTCCATGTAAAAGTCAGAGAAGGCTTGGCCTTAAACTGGTTAAGTCAGTGACTAAAGGGTTGGCCTGGAGTTCAGCTTTAGGTATGAGGCAGGTACTGAGTGGTACCCCCCCCTTCTCTGTTCCTGACCCCCTTGGCTTCCAGATCCAGAGAGGCACACAGGGCGATGCCATGGCTGACTTCAGAGCACAGAGTCAATATTTGTATACGGAGGTTCCCAGGAGGTACAATAAAGGGCGGTGCAGGCACTTCACTGGTTGGAGCAGCTCAAACACCATGTACACGTGACAGGTTAGCTTTAGGTTTACTCCCAGACTCTCCCGGACTCCATGACCCTCCCCCATACTGTAACACAATCTTCCGAGTCGCTGTAAAACGACCTTTAAACATTTGCTGGATCAGCAAGGGTGGGGTGGGGAACACGGATCCAGACACAGCCAAAAGGTATTTAATAAAACGTCATGGGAGACGCATTAAATGACAGGAACACACCCCTGATGGTTTAATGATGTGATGGAGAACCTCAGGAAGAGAGGAGCAGGGGGGGGGTGTTCTGTCACACTGAGGCCCTGCGGCCCCCCGTCACACCTCCCCGACCCTTACCACAATCCGGGGGTCCCAGGAATGGCAGGCACTCCAGGATTCCAGACTACATCTGGCAGAAAACAAACCTTTAACCCCTGAGATGTGGCAGAACTACAAGTCTCAGCACGGCCCGTCGGCAGGCGCTCCCATATGTTTCGTCTCATCTAGGGCTACGTCATGTGGACAAGAATGGAAGTTACAGCATGCTGGAATCACGGGGTTAAAAATACCCGACAACCGACATAAGCCGTCCGTCATTCAGCCTATAAATACACAGGACTATACACGGCACCCGTCCCAGATCATACATCTGCTGAACACTGCGAGGGGGGGTGCATATGGCACTAGGTATGCTGGGTAGTGCACTTGGGGGGTGCATATGGCACAGCACAATGAATGCTGGGTAGTTCACACATTTGGGAGGTGCATATGGCACAACACAGGGAATGCTGGGTAGTTCACACACGGGGGTGGTACATATGGCACAACACAGGGAATGCTGGGTAGTTCACACACACGGGGGGTGCATATGGCACAGCACAGGGAATGCTGGGTAGTTCGCACACACGTTGGGGGGGGGGGGGGGGGGGGGGGGTACATATGGCACAGCACAGGGAATGCTGGGTAGTTCGCTCACGGGGGGGGGGGTACATATGGCACAGCACAGGGAATGCTGGGTAGTTCACACACACGGGGGGGGGGGGGGGGGGGTACATATGGCACAGCACAGGGAATGCTGGGTAGTTCAGACATTTGGGGGGTGCATATGGCACAGCACAGGGAATGCTGGGTAGTTCACACACGGGGGGGTGCATATGGCACAGCACAGGGAATGCTGGGTAGTTCACACACGGGGGGGGGGGGGGTACATATGGCACAGCACAGGGAATGCTGGGTAGTTCAGACATTTGGGAGGTGCATATGGCACAACACAGGGAATGCTGGGTAGTTCACACACGGGGGGGGGGGGTGCATATGGCACAGCACAGGGAATGCTGGGTAGTTCACACGGGGGGGGGGGGGTACATATGGCACAGCACAGGGAATGCTGGGTAGTTCACACACTTTGGGGGGGGGGGGGGGTGCATATGACACAGGGTATGTGTATGCTGGGACATAAGTTCAGCCACACACTGAAGGGGGTTCATACAGAACGGAGCCTGCTGGGACATGTAGTTCACACACTGGGGAGGTCCTGCAGCACACATCACTTCCTCCGTCACAACAGCCCAGGAGACAGCGTGCCCCTCCAGAAAAGGGTCAGGAAACCCCTCCACTCAGGGCCCCTCCCCCTGTCCACACCACGTGTCATCCACTGATCCCATACAGAATTCCAGCACCAAGGAAGGATCACACAAGTCAGTGACATGTCACACCTGCACAGACACAAACCGCAGACAGGGGGCCCCTCAACTGACTTCAGGGGGCCAACCAAGGGTGACATTAGTGACAGCTGTTACACAGCTGTGTACAGCGACACGGAACAGAGGCCGGAACACGCCGAAATCATCAAGTCAGAGGAATCTCTCGTCTGATTTCATACAAAAAAGTGAGATTAGGATTGTGAACAGGAATCACCTGAAACCTTCCTAGCCGCACCCAGAGTGCTCCCCACGTACAGGACCCGATGGTCTCACCTTCCTGACCCTCTCAATGCCTACCAGACCCGATGGTCTCACCTTCCTGACCCTCTCAATGCCTACCAGACCCGATGGTCTCACCTTCCTGACCCCCTCAATGCCTACCAGACCCGATGGCCTCACCTTCCTGACCCCCTCAATGCCTACCAGACCCGATGGTCTCACCTTCCTGACCCTCTTCTCAATGCCTACCAGACCCGATGGTCTCACCTTCCTGACCCTCTCAATGCCTACCAGACCCGATGGTCTCACCTTCCTGACCCTCTCAATGCCTACCAGACCCAATGGTCTCGCCTTGATGACCCTCTTCTCAACGCCTACCAGACGCGATGGTCTCACCTTCCTAACCCTCAATGCCTACCAGACCCGATGGTCTCGCCTTCCTGACCCTCTCAATGCCTACCAGACCCGATGGTCTCGCCTTGATGACCCTCTTCTCAACGCCTACCAGACGCGATGGTCTCACCTTCCTGACCCTCAATGCCTACCAGACCCGATGGTCTCGCCTTCCTGACCCTCAATGCCTACCAGACCCGATGGTCTCGCCTTCCTGACCCTCAATGCCTACCAGACCCGATGGTCTCGCCTTCCTGACCCT